GTGACTCCAACCATCGTCGACTCCGCTGACTGGCTATTGTTCCTCTTTATTTATTCCATTTTCTGTTTGTCCTCCCCGGGCCTGCTTGATAGGCGCCGGGGAGTCCTGCAGAATTGTTCCCCGTATCTGAATATGGACCGTGTCGATATTCAGTCCGGAGTCAATGTCTCTACTGCCTTTGTCCGGTGGAATGTTGACCATTCTTCCTAGACATCAATCTGCATGTTCCCTCTGGGGCTTTTGCAGTGACAAACAGCTGCAATGAGAAGATCCTTCTCGTCTTCGGGGGCTGCGTCCTCTCTTTTCTTGATAGTTATGCTGCTCTTCTATTAAAAGGCACAACGTCTTGCTGTCAAGGACTCTTTTGATACCTCTTGTTTTATCAGAAGTGCAGATACCTTTGCCATATTCAAGTCCATACCAACAACCATACACTTTTGAAACCACCAACAAGTCCTTTCCGGGAGCACGATACCATGGCACCGCACTTCGATCCTTTTCAGCAGAGCGTCACCTTCCTCCGCGGTGATGGCAGTTCATTCCCTATTTCCATGGCGGATTTCAACAAGTTCGTGCTATACGCAGTCAGAACTTCTATTGCAGCTGCATCTCAGCTGGGCGCTTCTGTTGTGATGGCTGTTCTCCTTGCCTTACTTACAGCACCGGATAAACGACGATCAATCGTTTTCTATCTGAACATCACCACACTTCTCGTGAATGTGTGTCGTACATTATCCACGACGATATTCTTCACCAGCTCCTGGGTTGAGATATACACTTACTTCTCCGGCGACTATTCTCGAATCACAACCGGTGCCTACGCCAATTCTGTCATGGGAACTATAGCTACTGGTATCATGGTCATCTTGATTGAGCTATCCCTACTCATCCAGACTCACGTTCTATGCTCTACGCTTCGTGACCTGTATCGAAACATTGTCCTAGCATGGTCGTGCTTAGTAGCAGCCGTTCCAATTGCATTTCGAATTGCCTTCATGGTTGCAAACGTCAAGGCAATTATGTCTCAATCTTCTCTGGGAAAGAACGTCTGGATACAAAGCTCGTCTAATATTAGCATCACCGTCAGCATCTGTTACTTTAGTTTGGTCTTTCTGGCCAAGCTTGGCTATGCAATCTACACTAGGCGGTTGTTGGGAATGAAGGGATTTGGAGTCATGCAAATCATTTTCATCATGGCTTGCCAGACTATGATACTTCCAGGTACGTTCATCCCGATCAATGCCTTACCTATCTAATATGCATAATTGCTTATAAAAGAATGATTTCAGCTATCATGTCTATACTTCAGTATTTCATTCCCGAGTTTGAGGTCAACACCAATATCCTCACTTTGCTCGCACTGTCTCTGCCACTCACGACGCTTTGGTCAGCTGCTGCCGTTCGCCATGGACATAACAAGAATCACGGATCCGGTCACCATTTCTGGGGAGGCAGCTCTGAAAAGTCTCTGTTCGATCATAACAAAACCTCAGGGGGCAGTTTCTCCCATCCAACCTCGACGCTCATTGGGTCTATGCCGGGTCCCGAGAAGGTCAAGTCGGCGGACCACTTTGATCGTCTGTACCCTGAGCTGCACGATACAGGCAACATCACAATCGAACGTAATTTCAGTGTTACCAGCAATAGAGTATGAAGTGAAGGGCACATAAATGTCACTGAGAGATATATGCACGTCTGGGTGCAATCGTACGTCTCCTAGACATGTGCCTGTATCCTGTGCTGCTCTCTGTCATACTCAGTTCCGTCCCTTTCCTTGATACCAACTTTGCTTCGTTTTCAGTCATTCGGACCTGGGAAGTTAGCTTTGTTTTTTCCTTCGTTTATGATTCCCTACAAATTATTTTCTTGTACAGGACACGGAGTTAGATATGATAGCAATTTTAATCGAAGATCATATAATCACAGCCTGTGGTATACATACAGTAAATGTATTAAGTAAACGAAACTCATCCAACCAAATACGACAGAAATTAAAAATGATAGTGACAATTGAGGTCGTTCCGTTTCTAAGTGCCATTCTACTCACATTTAGAGGCACCAGAGCATTCCTCCTGTTTTGACTACATTCAATTATACCATTCTGACCTCCCTCTACCTTACCCTAAGCAAGATACTTGGCCATCTACACTCTTTAGTGGTGATTGGTAGGTCCTTCTACCTCCAATCACTCAAAATACCCAGTTTTCAGGCTCTAGTTAGTTATATTTTACGAGATTTCATAATCTCACTGCAAGGCCAGCAGGCAGCAGTGATGCGTGTGCGTCAGTGCTCAACCTTCACAAGAGACACCGCTAGTTACTTAGGCTCCAGCCTCACATAATATCTAGTAAACTTATAAAATCGCTGCGGGCCAGTTGACCGTCGTATTTATATAGTTATCTGGAGGAAGAAACTGTGAACTCCTCGATTACTTCGTTCTAACTTCGGGAGTGCCAGAATATGGCATTCAACAGCGCATCCACTGGTGTAACTAACCAAGGCGATATCTCTAAGGATGTGACCCTCAATAACCAGCCTGAGGACAGTATCGCAGAAGTTTCCTGGTCACCAGTCGCCAACTACCTCGCTGTCGCCTCCTGGGACAAGGCGGTCCGTATTTACGACATCTCTCACTATCCCCAGGGCAAGGGGAAAGCATTATTCTCGCTCCCTGGTGCTGCTCTGAGCTGTGGATGGTCTTCCGACGGGACCAAGGTTGTAGGGGCCGGCACTGATGGCTCAGCCAGGCTCATAGATCTCGCCAGTAACAATAGCCAGGCCCAGCAGATAGCCCAGCACGATGCACCAATTCGAACTGTACGAATGGTTCAAGTGCCGGGCAGCCAGTCCCCTATTGTCGTCACCGGATCGTGGGATCGCAAAGTTAAGTACTGGGACCTGCGGCAATCTACTCCAATAGGCGCAGTAACATGCCCCGAGCGCATATATGCGATGGAAGCCAGTGGTAACAAGTTGCTGATTGCCACTGCCGATAAACATCTCGCCTTAGTCGACCTTAACCAGCCTACCACCATCGCCAGAACCATCCAGAGCCCGTTGAAGCACCAGACCAGAGCCGTCAGCTGGATTGCCAATGGCACCGTTTATGGAGTTGCCAGCATCGAGGGCCGCTGTGCCATAAATTATGTTGACGAGTCAAACAAAAAGTAAGTGGTAGTCTGCTTATTCAAATATTTCCGACTGTTATCCGGTAATTACTAGTAACGAGTGTTTCTGGAGATCTGGAGGAGGTTATGTCCGGAAATTGGATATCCACAAGCTCATACGGTTATATTATTTATCAACCTAGTCAAAACTTCACCTTTCGCTGTCACCGCCAGCCAAAAGATAACGACCCGAAGAATCAGCTGGTATACGCCGTCAATGCTATTTCATTTCACCCTCGCTACCATCAGGTATTCAGCACCGCTGGTGCGGACGGCACATTTTGTTTCTGGGACAAGGATGCCCATCACCGCCTGAAGGGGTTTACTGCCGGAGGCCCCATAACTTCGACTTCGTTCAACCACGATGGCAGCATCTTCGCCTATGCCATCAGCTATGACTGGAGTAAAGGATACTCTCACAACACGCGGGACCACCCAACCAAGGTTGTCTTGCATCCGGTGTCAGATGCTGAATGTAAGCCGAAGCAGAAAACTAATCAGGGGTAATGGCCTTTATCTGCCGGGCCAGGAGGAACAAACAATTATGAACGCGGGAAACAGGCTGCATTTTGTGTCAACGAATTCTTCTTCTATATACTCCGTATATGCCGGGGCTTTGCAAGGACAACAAGATTTTGATACTGGAACTCACCCCTAAGCTTCCCTCCAATAGAAAAATTTATATCACGTGCTTGCCAATGTCTTGGCTCTTCAACCTTAATTCGACATTTGGCTTACATAAGAATAACACTGGCGGTGTTTGTGTTGCGAACTTGCGATGCAGAGACGACGAGAGTCACGGCGGCCGGCTATAGAACTGGATACTGCACTTCTTGCGGCTGTTTAAGGCTGTAGAGTGTATCTGAGGAGCTCTGGATACGTAGGAGCGGGCTGTTCTCACGGGACGATATGTTGTCGCTTCGGAGTATTAAGCTGAGTGGTAGTTAACAAAATGGCAAAGCAAAACGTCGAGTAATTATGACTATCGGGGTATGCTTCCTGTGGTTGTCTTTTGAGCGACAAATGCCGGGATCACCAGTAGATTGGCAAATAGGTCGAGGGTTCATTGACTCTTGTCACAAATGGCTTTTCGGTTTGAGCGGAGCCATCACTGTGTTTCACCGTTTGGAGTACGGAATAGAAGCATGCGCACGTCGTTCGTTAGCCATTATCCCGCGTACCTCAGTGGAATGCGATACCTCCAAAGACCGGCTGTTACACGTGGAAGTGCCAAAGCTTGGATTACGGCTGCGGTGTCGTCAGTGGTGGTTAAATAGGTCGAGCAAACTCCAAGTCTGGGCGAGGGTTTGTGATCCCCAAAGCAATCCCACCTCAACAACACTTGAAGCTATCAACACCACCAACGACGGTTCGATGATGCAGCCCTCAAGTCAACGAGGGAGACGACCATGGCAGCAGTGCCGCAGAAGACCCTAGAGTGGCTTTATCGAGTCCTGACCACCGTGAGAAACACCCTTCCCGTTGCTGCCTGTTCACGGAGTACAAGCAAGCTGACCATTGTAAATCAATTTCACATAGAACCAAGCATATCGCGACCCGAACAGGACGTATAGTGATACCGCGCAGCTCCTGGCCCAGTTTCCTTCGTTTTCTCCACGGACGGACGTTTACAGTACGCACTTCCATCTCCTCTTCCTAGCTTGCCCTTTTCGCTGCGGCCGAATCCATATACTGAGCCAACGTTCTATTAGCATACGAAAATGGTGCCTCAGCTCTACTTCTGCACTTGACAGGCACATTACCAGTACATTTCAGAGGAGCCTTGTATTGGTTTCCAGTCGCAATATGGGTCCCGAATACATACCCAGATGCATGCCCGATGGTCTATGTGACCCCAACGTCCGAGATGTTGGTACGACCAGGACAGCACGTTAGCAGTGACGGGAGGATTTACCATCATTACCTAGCTCATTGGGCTGAGGCTCGTGATGTATGTGCAATTATGGACACCAGTGAAAATATTGACAGTGATACTGATTGAATGCTTTTTTTTTTTTTTTTTTTTTTTTTAGCGGTCTACACTGGTTGATTTCCTTTTGATATTGAAAGAGGTCTTTGCTAAAGAGCCGCCCGTGATATCTAAAGATGCTCCATTCAGAAGACAACCAACCCCATCGCAGCAGAGCACTCCACCAGCAGTACCACCATTACCAGCTGAGCTAGCACGGCCTTCACCAAGCGTCGCTCCGTCGACACAGCCACAAACCCCCCCAAAACTCCCTCCGAAGCCTGGTGGAGAGAGGCATCAAGCTGCTTCAGAACGGCCAGCTGAGGACACGGTCACAGCGCGCAATGTGCCGCCACCTCTGCCACCCTTGCCTGCGGAGCTACAGTCAACGACTCACCAGCGAGATGGTCCTGGGCTAGAAAATCGAGGAAACCAGTTTCTACCTCAGAGGTCAAGTGCCTTAAGGAGCGAGGTCACTCCGGCGCCCCAGCCTCCACCTCCAACACACCCAAGTCAACATCAGACTCAAGGATTCATTCTGGGAGCTCATGACCGCAGACCATCAAATGTCCAGAGTCCGCCAGTGGGGTCTACACCCCATGCACCTCAATATCAGCAAGCATACCAACCTCCATACCCCCGTCAACAATTCTCTCCCCAACACAATAACACTATAATGCATCCGTCTCAACAACATGCAATCCATCACCAGCACAGCCCTCTACATGTTCCACAAAGGGATGCCCAATCGCCTCTGGCCGCAAAAAGCTCTCCAAAAAAAGGGGAAACACAAGACCTTCTTACTTCCCCCTTTGATCTCGAATTGCCCGCTCAACTACCCTCGTCATCGCCGCCACCAATCCCTCCAAATCCAGAGAAAGATGTCCTATTACAAACTCTCTCGGGGACGCTAACCCAAACGATCCATGCCAATGTCGAACAGTCGAATTCTCGCATAGAGCCATTGAATTCTCAGTCAAAGGCATTACATGATGCCATTTCCACCCTTCGATCCGAGATTGCTGCGGTAAACGCATTCCACGCCAATATCCAATCAAATACCCAGATCCTACAGCAGTCTCTACGTCGCGCGGATGGTGTTATAGCAGACGCAAAGTCACGCATATCATCGTCATCTGCATCTTCCTCCAAGCATCCCGCTGGCCTACCTGCTATAGATGAGGTACTGGTTCCCCCAACCGTGGTAGGAAAGCAAATCTATGATCTTGTGACGGATGAACGCGGTATTCAACGAGCGATATATGCCCTCCAGTCTGCACTCGTTAGAGGACGGGTAGGCGTAGATGTGTGGGCCAAGTCCACACGGAATTTAGCTCGAGAGGCATTTTTGAAGAAGGCTTTGATACGCAAAGCGGCCAATGGGATGGGGTTAACTGTTTAAATATATAAACTAGATAAACTAATAGCCAAAAACGGCTTTATTCTATCTGGAAAAATCTCAGGAAAGAGGTCGATCTATGCTATTTACGAATTTATTTGATGTGTATTGAAAAATAGATCTTCCAAAGTAGTTTCTTCATTGTTATTTTTTTTTTTTTTTTCTTGTTGAAAAGAAGACGAAGTCTAGCCCCTACACTAACTAACCTGCGAAGTTTTGGGCCAGAACCAAGCAAGGGTATAAGAATAGTGTTCTGTCTATATCCACATGTACAGGAAGCCAGTGAAACCAATGGTCTAGGAAGTTCAATCAGAAAAGGATAAGAAATAAAATTGAGCCAGAAACATCAAGAAATGATATAATTAATACAGTCATCAGGCCGAAGGGGGCATTATTCAGCCGCAAAATAAAAGGCATTGAAAAGGATTAAGTGGAGAAAGGAAGGAGAAAGACGCCGGCATGCGGAAAGTAGTAGTTATTACCAATGAAAAAGGCCACCTTCGCCTTCATCCATAGACCAGGTGCCAGCTAGACCAACGATTTGCTTTTGTCCATCAGCATGCTCGTCAAGTTTAGACAGGGAGGCCACCTTGGGGGCTTGGACGCCAGCTTTATCCAGAAGTTTCTTGGCCCACGGCCCAATGGCTGCTTCACCGGTCTCATCCCGGGCTTGTTTCAAGAAAGGAATGAGAGCTGTTCCTCCGGTGCCACGAAGGGGCGCTTTCTTTTCGCCTTTCGATGGCCTGTTGGACATGAGCATTCCGCCGGGGGTTGATAACGGCTGAGACTCAGGCCGGTTTAAGCCTGCTTCTGTTGCTGGAGGTGACGTTGGGACCTTGGTATTCCGCTCTTCGCGCGACTTGACGACAATGTACCGTGATACCATTGTAATGTGAGTTGTACGAATAGCTTTGACCATTGCTACAGCTGTATTGAAAGCCGTGACTAGCTCGGTGTTCGACTGGTGAGTTTGGACATAATTTTGGATGTTCGACACGCTGGAGACGTGCTCGAGGAATTTCCGGTGTGGTCCTGGCATGTAAGTCCGCATTTCCATGAGGAAGTTATGCCACCTTTTCCTACCTTCTCCGCTCTCATCACTTGAAGAGGATGTTGGGAGTGGCGAGGAGGTTGGCTTAGGTCTAGATTCGCCAGTTGGTCTGTGTTCAACACCTAGAACGATATCGAAGAATTGAATTAGCGAACTCTGGGCGTTGCTTCCGCCGCGATAGTGCTTGTATTCCTGGAAGCCAGACCCATCGTCGAATAGGATACCACGCGGAAGCTCGGCCATACCCTTGCTCCCGGCCAAGAATGGGCGAATGCGATGGTAGAAAACATGTGGGTCACAATGTTTGTACATCTTCTGGAGTTCCATGTTTACTTCGTCAACGACTTCTGCAAACTTGGTCAAACACTCCGTCACTTCCGCCACTTCATCAGCACGAGCCGCAGCTATAGCCTTGAGCATGAGAGGTATGGATCGGGCACCCCTGGCCTCAATGGCTATGGAAACAAGGTAGAACCACTGCTCATCCAGAGAGCCGGTAAAGGTGAATAGAGTAGCAAGATTATCAAGCGAATCTGCAGGCTCATCAGGGAATATAAGCCTGTAGTTCCACAGGCAGAGGCCAGCGAAAGTAGCCACAGGCGGCAACTCCAGGTGAGCAGCAACTTTCAATAGTGGGACAGCAAGGGGCTGAGGGATTTCCTGCAGGCAGATTTTGTCAGCAGACCGTCATAACGGANNNNAAAAAATTTTTTTTTAGTTCCACCCTGGCTTGTATCGGAAAATTTATGATGATCATAGTGGTGATGGAAATATAGGACATGACATGAAGGAGGAGATGACGATGGAAGGGAAATAAGAGAAAACCTCCAAAAAGAAATAAAAATAAAATAACAATTAAAAAAATAAAAAGGGTCACTTGTCACAAGACAGAAACGCAAGCACTGGCAAAGGAAGTAGATACTTACATCCGCGGGTTGGTCTCCTCCCCAAATATACCCATGCAGTAGGAATCCCAGGATGGAATATGCACGTCGCCATTCCGGAGTAGACTCAAGATATTCAAGGGATAGCACAGGCATGTTTTCAATTGTGTTCCGTAGTCTTCCGGCCAGTATCAGCGGCTGGAGATTCCCAACAGTCGTCTCCCATGGTGCGTAGTATGCTGGGAGCTCTGTGGCCGGTGGTTGTTCGGGAAGAAAACCATGCTCTGCGGTGATGCCGTAGTCTTCGATATTGGGAACTGGACGCAACATAGTCACAAAATTTGTAGGCTTGGCTTGCTCGGTGAGCGTAGAAGTGTGTTGAGACCTAGTGGTCGATCAAAATATTGTAAGGCTGTGGGGTGTGGGTGGGAGTGGAAAGGGTGTGGGCTGTTAGGGAGTAAATCAACATCAACGGAGGGAAAGGAGTCCTAGATATAGGAAAACGATAGGATAATTAGGACAACAAAAGGGGGAGAGCACCGGCAGGTAGGCTGTGTATCTAGAATAACTAGAATGGTGGAACCTGGGCCTGCGCCTATATGCAAAGGCAAAGAATGATATTATTATTAAAAGAAATCTCGCAAGGTCGACCCGGAGCGAGAGCGAGAGAGAGAGAGAGAGAAAAAAGTCGTTTATTTGCAGTAAACTATCACGTGGATATGACGTTTTCAGGTACCTGAGGCGCAAAATCTGGCTGGAGAGGTACGGCGGCAAAAGCGAGCGAACGAACTAGTTAGTTTGTAGCGAAGCAGCTAACAAGTTATCGCGTGGGCTAACTAGAGAGGCTGAACGTTTGCGTAGGGGGCGGGAAAACCACGCAGAGGAGCCGGAGGACGCTGTCGACTGTTTAATAGCCCGGGCAGTGTGATATTGGAGACGCTGGTGCTTATAGTCCGTTTGCAGCCGCCATTTATATTGTATCATTCCAAGTATATCAACCGTCTCGGCAAGCATGGGGGGGCGGGCGGCGAAAACATGTCGATACAACGGGTCGAACGCTACTGGCGGCCCCAACGATCACTGCGTCCCTGTTTCAGCTCCGTATCGTATTCGTCAGCAGCCCGTCACAGGATTTTCTAGCCACAGGTTTGCATTCTCTAGCTCTGGGGGATGGAGACGGACTCTGGCTAAGCCGTCAAGTCGCCGCCAATCAGGCTGTTCGCGGGGGCAGCGGTTTGGGGAACACCGTCTTATTCGAACAACGGAAAGATGTGCCTTCTCGTCATCTTTAATCCCTCCATCTGAAGAGTTCCGCCCATGCTCTGAAGGTGTGAGAGGATACGCGTCTGGCTAGTCATGTCTGACAATTCATTTTGTCGCTGACGCTGACAGGCTTGGTATCTCAATCCCTGGGCCAGATCGTGGTGGTCGCCCGTTTTCCACGGTCCCATGCTGAGTCGAACGGCATGGCAGGTCGAGCGACTGCTTAGAAGAGGCAATAGAAGCGATTTCAAAACACTCCAAGACTTCGCAGGAGGCAGTCGTTTTCTACTGCCGGACGCGCAGTTCTCGCGCGGTCTGACGGAGGGTTCCACGGCGCCTAGAAAATGCTAGGAGGGAACGCCTCGTCGAGATGGTGATTTTCTTTTTGGCAGTCATCTGTCGCTGTTGGCTCGCTGGTGGTGTGTGACGGAGTATTTGGCCGATAGCGTCTTCTTGTGAGGGTATAGCTATGTCGGCACTGGGCCGTATCGCAGTGTCGATGTCGTGGTCGGTGTGGTTGTTGTTTGGAAGTGAAGCGCAGAGCGAGATGTGGGGAGAAGCAGGCTGATGTGGCTTGAGGATATTTGGATTAGGGCCGCCTTGACGCTGTTCCATGCGAAATCTGGAAGGATGAGAGGAATGAAACCGATGGGCGAGAGCCGACATGGGTCGAGGTGGTGGAAGCCCGTCAAGCGTCTCTGGGGACAGGCATCTGGAGAAGGCGATCTCTCTGGCAGATCACTTCTGTTTGGCTGGTGAGCTGAGCGATTCGACAACCTGGATCTGCGAGTGGCGGCTTCAATAAGCGTTTTACGAGGACAGATGAAGGTGCGAGAAGC